TACCAGTAAAACCAGTTAAAAAATTAGCAGGCAAAATTAACTTTTATGGTTTCCCTAGACGAATTCCTTTTCACTCTTAATTAAACTTTTCAGAATATTTTTTTTTTTCATTTCAGTTTGAATCAATCACAATAAATTAATTATCATTGGCGTCAGTAACAGTGACAATTTTCACCGTTATCATATACGAAAAGCATCTTCATTAATTTAGAATCATGCAAAACTTGATTTATTTCAATTTTTACCTAATAGCAAAATTAATCATTTATAATTCGCGAAAATAATTAGTAACGGTACTAATATTTTTATTATCATTTTTGGCTTAGTAATATCGGAATTCGAAGCCCTTCGGTGTCTAACATAGTACTAACATAACATAAGTACTCTAATACCACCATACAACACATCAAGTAAACATAACCTTTATTTTTTTTCTCTTTTTGTATATAACATTGCGGCTTCGAACAATTAGATTTTTTAAAATATAAGCTAGAAAATCCATTCACCAAAAGAAAGATTAACTATACATATAGTATCATTTAATGTATGATAGTTGAGTTTATATTATTTTAGTTTAAATACTCGATTTAGAAGTTTCAATATCAATATAAGAAACACGTGATTTCATATACCTTTGAAATACGAATTCGGTGACGTCATCACCATGCATCTCGTCATCATTAACGTTGATTTTACTTGTGATATTCTATCATAGGAAACTAACGATAAATATTTTATTAAAACATATGATAAAACTCATTTTCTGTTTACTAGAGCGGCAAGTTAGTAATTTGCTCGTATTGTAAAATCTATATCGAATTCTATGAAGAACTCTTACTTTGGGATGTAGCGTGAGATCCAGTAGTCAAGGAGAGTTTTAAAGTAGACACTTATGGTCTTTGGTGTCTTCGCACGGACGTACAGTGCATAAAAAAACAGACCGCCTTGAATAACTTTTAATCTAATGATCGAATCTTCACTTTCTAGGACTCAATGACTCAAGGGGGTGATATCAAATATGCTAATTAAAAAGTGCAGACGATATTTTAAGTTGCGAAATCAGATACAAAAACGTACTGTTTCTCAATAAACACACCTTTTTTTGACTGATTCGGAATTCTGACCCTCCAAAATACGGAGGATAGCCGCAATTTGGGAAATATGGTCTCCATAGTTTGATCACGAGAACGATTCAAAGTTTGGATCCCTTAATGTTATTATCACTTTTTGCGTATTTCGCCATATATTGAGAACTTTTTATAGCGAATTAAAAATATTTTGCACACTATTATAAAGTTCGGATAATAAACAGATTAAAAAAGTCAGTTCAATTTTCTATTCAATTTTGCCTACCGTAAGAAAACTTTATTTTTTTTCAAATCATTTTACAATTATTATTTTCTATACTTGCTCTTATTTTTGAGAAATCATTGTATGGTTTTATACATCATATTAATAAAATTGCGATTTGACTTCATTGTCGAATCGATACTCAAATAGAGTATTATCTGTCTTTAAATATAGTTCCTCGGTAAGTAAAATTGCCAGATATTTTTATAAGGGAGGACTAATGTAGTTTTAAACGTTTTTATACTTAAATATAATTTCAATAAGTCAGAATCTTAAGATAAAGGCTGTTAAAGATTTTTCTTCATAACTAAGCACTAAAGCTGTCAAGTCTAAGGGGAAAGAGTACTCACATCCCAATGAGGTGACCCGGGTTCGAATACCAGTGTTGACTGATCTTGTGAATTCTGCTAATGGCTCACAGCGACCACAATGCTGGTATACTTATTTCTTTGAGTTTTTTCGTTAAAATGAAAAAGTTTTTTTTTTCCAAAAAATATTTAGCTGTTTATAAGACAGTCAACCGTTTTTAATAACAGTAATTCTCTTTTATTATGGCACACCAGCTTGCAGTATTTTTTTTTTCAATTTAAGATTTTTTACAGTGTACTTAGTAAAATTTTCAGAGAGAAAATGAAAAAAAAAAGACGGAAGAAAAATGGTAATAATTTTTATACAGAAAAAAAAATGAGCAATCAATTTGAAATCGTACACTGAGTGTTCAAATTTACCATAAATTTAATTCCAAACACACAACAAAATATTTCTTTTTCAAGTACTTAAACAAAAATCTTAAAGTTAGCAAACATTTTGATTATACTTAGATTTTATATTTTTCGTGTCATTCTCTGTCTACGCAAAAATTAAATGATTATAAGAAGAAAAAAAATCGAAACAAGCTCTTATAGCCAATCGCAGCAAAACTAAATTGCACACTTAACACAATATCCAAGTTTTTCAGTTTGTTTAAGACTATCTAACTTCAAAAATTTATTATTATTACAATTTTTTTTTTTTACTATTCGAATTGAAACTTCAGGTATCTCTAAATTTTGTAAGGTAAGCAATATCTTTAAAAACTATACTTTTACTAGTTGTTAAACATAAAAATGACATTAATTTTTTTTTTACCAAATAAATAAATTAAATCAATTAAGATTTTATGTTCTGCATTATTACAGTACTATTAAGGATTTTTAAGAGAAGACTATTTAGTTGCATGTCGTTCGTTGTAGTTTAAGCACATATTTTTTTTTCTACTTGTGTAAATAACTTCAGCACATTTACATAAAATTATCATAAATAAACTAATACATTATTCTTGTTAGACTTATATTTATTAAAGTTATTTTGGCTTATTAATATAATTAAACATTTTTAAAGCAAATAAATGCATTCGAAAAACGTTTTTATTTATTTAAATTATTCCGGCATATTAATATAAATAAAAATAATTTAAGCAAATACATGCATTCAAAAAACTTTTTATTTATTTAAATTGTTATTGGCATATTAGTATTAAACAAACTGATATAAATAAATAAAAAGATTCCAAAATGTTTTATTCGTTCAATTAATTTCGGTATGTTAACATAAATTAAACTATCATTCAATAAATTAAATTCAGGTTCTAGCACCTTAAAATATTAAAATTTTTCTATTAAATATAATATCATTGCTAGTTTTATTAAATTTCTTAGATTCACTAATGTAAATTTTAAATTTTTTGTTTCAAATAAGCGAAACGTATTAAAAATTTTCAATAACAAAATGAATGAGATTATGTTCAATCCGTAAAATAAATTTAAATTATGCAATACATAACTCACCTTTTATGAAATTCAAAAAATTTTAACAAGCAAAAACAAGTGTTTTGCTTGAACAATTCAAAAATATAACAACACAACCGCGATGGTAAAGTGATTAAGGCTCTGAGTTGCCGGAGTGAAGTATAAATTGAAGTTTTATCGTTGCGGAGGCTTGAAGCCCATGCGTTTTCAGATCTTTAAGCTTGTCTCGAAAGTAAATGTGGCTGGAACGTAATTCTGATCAGAATATTACTTTTATGGCATTAGTAACAAAGTTGTGGAGCCTTAACTTTCGTTTTCCCCTAGTGAACAACAAGCTATTGTAATGCATTACAACAAGAAATGCATTTTTGAGACGCGACTAACATTGCCAAAGCACTGAGTATAAAAAATTTCGTAATTTTTTTTTGTTTTAGGCATGTAATTGATAAAACTTTAAAGCACCATTCCAATAGTTTAACAGTATATAACGGAAGAGATAAAGCAGACATTTTTTGTGTAAAATATTTAATTATGCTAAGTGCTTTAAGCTAGTTAAAATAGATAAACTTTTCATTGCTTTTTAAAATTTGAATTTCAATGTTCGAGACATAATAGCAACGCATTTGAAATTTAATTAAAATTCAAAGTTAACTATTAAAAAATATTAATTTTAGGAATTGATCATAAATTTTTAATTAAAAAAATAAAATTAATCATGCATTTTTTAAAAAATAAAATGTTTGACTCTTTTAAAAATTCTTAAAAAAATTATCCAATAATATTTTAAAATCTACCTTTAAAATTTTAAATAGTATTTTAATTTGTGTTTAAATTTTATAAAAGATATTTTTGTATTTGTTTCAGTTAAATATTGAATTTCGAGTTTAATATCAAATGTGTTTATATTAAAATCCTCTTAATGAAACTACCGAAAAATAATGATATATAAAAATATTTCAAAAAAGATTTATCAAAATAAGATTTATAAACGATTTCAAGAATAGTATATTTCAATTTTTAAAGCAATATACTATACTTCTAAAAAAACTAGAATGTTTTATCAAATATATAAATCTCAACTACTATTTAATAACTTTAAAAAAATAGAGCTACAGAAAATTCTTCTGAATTGCATTAAATTAAAAAATATCTCCATTTGGAACCTAATCCAACATAAAAATTAATTCCTGTTCAAAAATAATTTTATTAATTTAAATTTTTTTTCTTCATAATTTCTTAAAATAACATTTAAACACAACACGAATTGTCCTAAAATATTCGCTACTGATTTACCATTTAAAATAAATAATATCATACCAGACATGAGTTTATGAAATTTATCGGTAAATATTTTGATTAAAATCAAATGAAAACATCAGAAAAGACAATCATTTCTAAATATAAGACATTTCCTCATTTAGATCGAAACTCGAGGAGAAAATATTCATTCGTATCTAAGCTGCTTCCTATAGTATACTAATTAATCATCCCTTTTGGAAAACTCATTACATTTTATTTCAAAATTGAAAATTTTGTTTAAATGAAATCCTAGAACGGTTATCTAAATAGTGTAGCATTACCAAACAAAGATAAATTGGCAATCTAGAGGAAGGGTGACCGTTATTGGATTTCGATTAATTTGAGAGGACAGATTGCAGTTTATTTGCACTTTTCCATTCCAAACAAGATTTACAGAACAACTGTGATTGCATAAATATTGCAGGTAACTTTCGAAGATTTAAGTGAAAGAGTTCTATCAAAATATCATATCTACTGCCAATATGCAAACTAATAACTTAGAATATTGTCTTGATTCTTTATCAGTTTTCTAGACGATTAAAATTAACCAACAAAAGCACTTACCCGACGATGAAATGAATAGAGGAAATAGTAGCAAATTATGTGGATTGTTATCTTAATTTGACGTATCAGACTTTTAATAAAATCTTTTGGCGATATTATTGGCGTAGTATGTTTATCTATTCAGAATTTTAATAAGAAACTGTTCGCCAACGATTCCACAAACATAATAAAGTAAGTTTATTGTCAATAAATGAAACAGTACGACTCAATAAAATCTTCAATAATAATGCAGAATACAATAGATATAATTAAAAAGTAGAAAACTTTAACAACTGGTAAGTTAAATCAAACATCACTTTAAAGTATTATTATATAATCTTAGTTCGATTATTTTTCTCAGATAAATTAATATAAAAATAGATTAAGTTAATAATTGAAGGAAAATTGTTGAGATAATTTAAGGGAAGTCGGGTAGGGCATATAACAATAATGTTAAAACTGACCTTTTTCGATGTACTTTTTCTCAGCATCGAAATAAGATATTGCTCCAGTATTTTTTCACAGAATATTTGCATATACATGTTTACACTGGATAACTGTTAATGCACTTCGTTGAAATTTTTTTTTAAATTACGAACTGAGAACTTTTAAATTTTTTTAAACGCTTCATCATTATTGAGCAAAACTCTTTCATAATTCAAAAAGCATTCTGTTAACGTTAAAACATGATCACGGCATACAACTGATATAATCTCAAACATACAGAAGAAATTTCAAAGCGACACCATAAGTAGTTCCTAAGACAAGGTACATTAAAAAGGTCAATTTTAGCATAATTGATATATGCCCTACCGACTCCCTTTAAAGTAATCCTCAAGAAATAACTAACCCAATAATTTATTGAGTAAAAATACTGATTACTTTATGTACAATTTTATTCTCGTTGCTAAACATTATTATTTGATTAAAATTTGTAACTGTTTTTACAAAGGAACACCATTTACAATCTGTTTTTTTTTTTAAAAAATGAATAACGCTACAGAATATTTTAATTTCTACTATCCAACATTACTACTTCTAATTTAATAGATAACGAAACAGGAAATATACTTTCAAATAATTGAACAAAAACTTCATTATTTCATTTTAACCTAACATTTTAAAAGCATCTAAATTAAATTTAACACTTTCCTTAGTGTTTTTTATTGTGGAATAATTCTAAAAATATTTTTTTTAAATAATTTGTTGTTTCAAAACACGAAGAAAAACAGTCAAGTAAAATTACGTACTTTATGGTAATGACATTTTTGGTAAAAAGGAAAAAAAACAATAAATTTGGTTAATAAAATCAAAATATAAGGTTTTTAAGTAATTTATTTTATAATTTTTCCATTCTTATGGTTACGATTTACCAGAAATTCCGGTTTACAAAAATATAGTTCTTATTACTATAAATTTAGGAAAAAATAGAAAACTGAAACATTATTAAACTGAGTAAATGGTGCTCACGCCATGCTCTAAGGTATCATGATAAAATTACTAAATTTTACCACATTGAATTGTATTACACATTATAAAACTGCATTTTAATGTTAATTTTACTAAAATCGTAACCAAAGCGCTTCGGTAAAAATTACGGAGCTTTTTGGTGTTCCAATAGATCCAGAATCATAGTTAATTTTCCATAATGTGGTAGTTTGACCATATTTTTTTTAAGTTCTCACAATATAGGAAAAATCATTCCTTTTTTCAAGCGTGGTATATCATAAGGAAAATTCAGGAAATTTGGAACAAATATATCTAAGGAAAGAGTTGTTTAATCCCTTTATTTGGTTGCGGAATGTCTGCATATTTTTCTGCAATGAAGTTTGTAGAAGCTCTCCCGAATGTGGTCACATGATTTTCTTGTAAGACAGTTGAATTATTACAAAATATAAAATGGTATTATTTTCCTTTTTCACATTTTATTGAACGTTAAAATATTTGAATATAACATGTGTGAGTAAATAATTTAACAAAGGATTTAAAACAGTGAGACACAAAAGCAAGCAATACTATTTAAGAGATATCGCTTATCGTAAAGTAGGATAAAAATTATTGAAATTTTTAAATTATTTCACATTTTATTAATAAAGAATGCATAGTAATTAAAAAAAATTTTTGACACTATAGTAATCATATATATTTAAAAATGCTTTTCTTTTAATTACACGGAAACCTTCTAGATGAAAGTGCATGTAAAAAGAAAAGTGTTGTGTTTATTACCAAAACACAATAAACCTAAATGTAAAAATTTTTTATAAGTTCTAACTCAGCAAGATAACTAATCCAAAAAAGCAAATACTACAAGACTTCATCAACAAAAGTCAAACAGCATGAACTACATTACTGAAAGAAAGTCTAATGGAAAAAAAAACTACAGTATCGTTGAAAGTACGAAAGAAGGATACAGCACGTGCTTGGAATATTACGCATAACACAAAAGTAGCAGAAAAAGGAAGCATAAAGCCTACGCCGCAATTTATGACCCACGAAACGTTTTACGTAGATGTTTACGTTTATAACGGCAAAATTTTTATTGGAAGCCCTTAATGGATCCACTGATGAAACTTTCAACGTTGTCAGAATATTACGAACCTTTTTTTTTATTCTCTATGTTCATTAAATAGAAACATTCTTTATTTTTTCCAATATAAAGTGAAAACATGAATCACACCAAAAAAACAAAATAATTCGAGGTTTTTTATTCTGCATTCAATAATACAAATGCGAGATATTTACGCAAGTTATTTTTGAATAAGTAGTATGAAATATAAGAATATCATAAACGAAATTTTGCACATCGGTTTCTGATAAAAAAGTAAAAAGAGAGACAAATATTTTTTAATATTTTTTTTAGAATTATTACAATATTAAATACGTAAGGGCCTGCCTGTAATATTAGGGCCTGCGCAGAATACTTGGCAGGGTGCTGGGCTCACGTTCGTAAGAACGGGTGTTCGAATCCAGCAGGCCGAAGACTCCCCGTGTAGTATATGGTGACTGATGCACGTTAAATCTATCAGGTCACAAAGTCATCCGTGTTCAAATAATAAATTATACCTCTGGGGATACTGGATTGGAGATTGATCGTTTTCTGATTCAGGCCAAAATTACGATCTGTGGATGAATTAATGGATGTATGAATGACTCCGTCCTATAAATGGGTGTGGCGCATGGGTGTGACTAAAGTCGAATTCTTGGCCATAGATGGCACCACCGGAAGAGAAAAACAATAGATCCCCCAGTGCTGTAATTGCCTCAGACAACAACAACAATGTCATATTGCATTATTTATTTATAAATTTAGTGTAAAGTAGCTACATGCTATAAATGTTTTAAATTAAGTAATTTATAGATTTTCATGACTCACGAAAAAAAATTACATTGTTTTAAACATATTGGATTAAAAAAATTTATGAACAAAACGACTGAAATTACTTTTTTATTAAAAAAGGTAAGAGAAGGATTAAATCTTATAAGTTTGGTGTCTTGAAAATACATGATCAATGTCTGAGAGATTCCCTATAATTTAAGATTCTGATTATTAGAGAAATTACTAAACATTGAAGCTAAGAGCAAATTATTGCACACTGAGAAAAAAAGTATCATCAAAAATCCCAGAAAATGGTAAAATTTGTTGTGTATTTGGCTCTATGAAAACACCTTTAAAGCTTGGTAATATTTATTGAAGTGATTTGATAATGATTTTGGTAAAATTAACAATAAAATAAAGTTTCATGATATGTGAAAAAATTTGGCAAATGTGGAAAATTTTCTCAGGATACCTTAGAGCATGACATAAAAATCATTTATTCAATGGTTGAATTTATTTCAAAATCTTGTATTATTTAATAAATGTGTGATAATAAGAATTATAATTTCGAAAACCAGAATGTCCGTTAAATCTTTACCATATGAACAGAAAAATTATTATATGAATGGTTAAAATGCTGTATACATATACCGTACTTTGGTTTTATTAACCACAACTATATTTTTTTCACAAGTCATGTCATTACCATACAGTACGGTAATTTTACCAGAATTTTTTCTCTTTGCATTATTCCATAAAAAAGTTATCTTTTCATCATAAATTATCCACTATTTACTTAAAGTAAAGCAAATAAAACATTAAAACAAAATGATAAAAAAAAACAATTTATCCATTTGGATGAAAGTCTCTTGAAAAATAAAAACATATTTACTATTTTTTCAAAATTTAAAATAATACCTTATTTTTTTGCACCCTTTAATAAAATAAGACCTTATCAAAACAATTTTACAATTGTTTTTATTTTTGAGCTTTTAAAATTTGAAAAAATATTTTCATTATTTGTGATTTCTTTAAAAAAATGCAAATCGTATTTACAAAAGATAAATATTACCATTGTATGAGCCAAAGGGAATAGATTTTTTAAAAATTTTCTGTAGCATGAGATTTAATCAAATCTGATTTCAAATCTGCAAACGGTTTCTCTTTTCAAGCTACAGATTTTTTTAAATGACATTTTTAGTCTTTTTCTTGCCGAAATGTACAAGTTAAAAAAGATTGTCTATATGGGGTCCGACAAACTTTTAGGGAAGTTAGGACATATCATCAGGATTAAAACTGCACAGGAACCCATACAAGGAAATGTCGTCATATTGCATTGGGGCACCTGTTATGAACTGTTTCTTTGTGTGCTTCTGAGCAGGTCATAATAGGGAAGCGCCCCAAACAGCATACGACGACATTTTCGGGCATGAGTTCCTATGCAATTTTAATCCTGATGATGGGCCCTTATTTCCCAGTTCTGTGACCTCTTGTTGTATATAAAGATTTAAACTTTTACACTTCGACAAAAATAGTCCAAAAAGTTCATTTAAAAAAAATCTGGTGTCTTAGGAACAAAACTAATTTCAGATTTGAAATCCCCACACCCGAATTTGGTAAGATCAAGTATTTGTATAAATGCAACAAAAAATTTGTTACACAGTGTAATATATGTATTTTTAGATAGTGGGTGATTCTTTAAGTATATCAAAGAAAATTATCAGAGTCATAAGTCGATTTTTTAGTCAGAAGTCTTACGATATCAGTTACGCAGTTTGTTTTTTTTTGTCGCATGCACCTTTT